TTTTCTGATCAACGTTCTGCGGGTGATCGTGAGGAAGTTGCATCCCCAGTCCGCCCAGCCAGCGCCACTGGCCATCCGGAAGGCGGTGCGGGCCACCATTATCCTGGTGCCGCTGTTCGGGCTGCAGCACTTCCTGCTGCCCTACCGTCCGGACGCCGGCACCCAGCTGGACCACTTCTATCAGATGCTCTCCGTGGTGCTGGTCAGCCTGCAGGGCTTCGTGGTCTCCTTCCTGTTCTGCTTCGCCAACCACGATGTCACCTTCGCCGTTCGCACGCTGCTGAACAAGTGGCTGCCCAGCTTGGTGATCGCGCCGCCGGCCGGGAGTAATACTGGACAGATGGCCACGACCACGCCCAGCCGAGAGTTGGGCGTTTAAGGAGTACCGCTCGCGGGTCAATCGAAACATTGACCGCATCGCAGAGCAAAGGTTCTGAGGAGCAGCTTGGAACACTTCTATCATGATTAGTTGTAACATCATTTTGGTTTTAATTTACTTTACTTAAAATGTTCCAGTAGTATTTATTACCCAGGCTCATCAAGTCCGAAATGCATTTACAAAATGAAAGTTTTGGTCATATTCATTCATTTAAATAAAAAGAGTGCTAAATATTTCTAGGAAGAAATGTTACCATAAAAATTCAGTTTCAAACTTTTCACTTTTTGAGAAAATATATACAAAAATACCTACATTCAAAATCTCAGCTTGAACCTAGAAAAATTAATATAAATATAAACCATATATAATATATTGCTATTTAAATGCATCCTTGAGGATCCCCTCTATATCTACTATTTATGGAATCAAATGCCAAGAATTTACAGGTACCCCCGATGATTTTAGTACAAAATCATATGCTTATATTTTACGATACAAAATATATTCAAAACCTGAGAGGATGATGAAACATACGTACCCGTGTACCTAGGAAAAGTTTTTTTAGACCTTCAACATTTAATAATGTTAAGATACAAATATATATGTGTAATAACTGGACGTTTAATGTAGCTGGCAGATATTAGTGCTATTTATTCAACTTAACCAAGCACACTTACGTAGCGAATAAATCATGTTAACTGCAAAGAAATCGTTTGAGTGTCAAATAAACGTGGAATAAAAACAAGTTGGTTTTGGTAAATTTTTCATTCAATTTTATTTCATTTTTTTGTGGATTTTCTCTTGTCATATTTTTATTTTATTTTGTATACCATTGCTTGCCGGCTTTTTGTTGTTTGGTTTTAGTTTTTGTTATCAAGTTTCGTTTGGATTTCGTTTTAAAATTTTTGTTTTTTGTTTATGAAAGAGCAAAAGAGCGTGGAACAAAACTAATACATACAATAAAATACAAATATAATAATAATTTACATACATTCATATAATTTATATGTACGAGTATAGTAAAATTTACGTTTTCATCTTATCGCTTTTGTTTTTCAATATAAGTTATATAATAATATGCATCTAAATTTGTGTCTCCTCGGTATCGTTTCCTTCGCTGTGTGAGTGAGTGTAAGTGTGATCTGTTCGTGTCTGTGTTAGTTAGATATATTTCTGGTAAATACATACAAATATGCGCCTATCCATTTAGATGTATTAGAGACCTGCAGGAATCCACAGCGCATTTAATCACTATGATTTGTGGAAAATGGTTAAATAATTTCGAATTTTTTTAGGGCTGAATCCTTGATCGAAAACACCTCATATTCATATTCATACAGGCCTCTAACATATTTCTCGTAGTTTAAGTTAGAGCATTTCTTTAGCTGCTGGGCGGTTTTTCGGGTTTGGATTGTGTGACTTGGTGGGTGTACAAATCAATTGAAATAGTTCTACTCAGGGGCTACGAATACAATATCGAAATGTGAGTAAGTAAGCATATTTAAAAGTAAGGTAAGTACATGGGTATGCGGTATATGGTTAACTAATTGGATAAGTACGATCGCAGGGAAATGCATAAATAGGTGCTGCCCTTGGATTTGCACGAAAAGTATATTAATATTTGTACGATACGCTATAGACAATAATAATTAGCATACACAATCAAATGGATAATAATTAATTAAGTTTGCAGTTGAATTATGATTTTTAGTTGCATTTTTATTTGTATTTGTATTTTTATTTTGATTTGTAATCTTGTTCTTGCTCACACACAAATATGTAGTTGGCTTACATATATGTATATAACGGCTATCGAGTTTTCTTATGCACAAAATTGATTTAAATATTCTTGTGATTTTTTTTAAATTTATTTTTCTTTACTTATATACTTAGTTTGGTTTGGGCGCGTTCCGTCTGACAAAGCGGCTACGTATATTTTCTTGTCTTTTCCTTATTGTTTTTCTTATTATTTTTAACTATCTGTTTGAATTTTGCAAGTGATTCAACATTCAACACTGATTACCGTGTTTTCTGCCTCAGGCGGCCATATAATTTTATTGAAATTTCTGGCATAATAACGCTCTTTGGCTTTTATCGCTTACTTCTCTAGTTTTGCATAATCTGTCGCATGTTTTATCGATGCTTACGCCCTAAATTGAAGTTTCATATTCGCTAACTTGCATGCAATCTCGACTTAGATTAGATTTTGGTATCGATGAAATCGCCTTAAGTGTCTAGATTTTAGTGTATATCAATAAAAATGTTGGAAGTTGATTTTCGGGTGTAGCTTCGGGAGGCGCTTCAAAATCGCTTCACTTTCACTTTCGGGTATTTTGGGATTTTTATCCCCTTGAGTTTTCGTTCTATACGATTTTTTAGGTTCAAATTCATTTTCATTTTGGTGTTGCTCTGTTACGGTTTTCGATTCTGTTATCGGGGGCTATTTTTCATATTTTCGCTATCCTGGCCATACAAGTAGACATGTACATCTATATATATATATAAATAAATATGTATTTGTTGTGTTTAATTTTTAAATGCATTTCATGCTTAGTTGATGATTTTCATTGTTGGGTTCAGTTATAGTTTTTGCATTCTGCTGTTTTTATTTATTTGTGTTTTTTTTTTTGCTAAAATGAATATCGAAGAACTTTCGCCAACTGATCGGTGTTTGGTTTTGCGTGTATTTTTCATCTTCGGCTTTTATTTAGATGAATTTTAAACTTATACGCTTCGGTTAATATGGATGATTTTTATCATTTTTTGTTTTTTTCGGGTAAATTGTAAGTGGCGGCATATGAGCCGTGTGTGAATGTGACCGAGTCGCTGAGTTGCGATTTGTACAACTGCGTCATATTGTCGCCTTCCCCATACATATACATATATATATATATATAGTAAGTCAGCGTGGGCAAAAACAGCCAACTCGCGCCACATCTCCATATTGCTTTTGTGAATGACACACGCGCCTGCGCAGCGTTGCGGCGGTTATTTTGCGGATATTACTTGATTACTTGATTATTCCATATGTCATATTGAGTATTGAGTAGTTTAACTAGTCGCCGGGAAGTGGAAAACGACTCAGCAGCAATCGAAGACCTGTTTTTAATCTTTCTCTGCAGTCCGCATGGTAAACTGCTTGCATTGGCCAGTCCGGACTCCGGATGTTGACCGCACTGCTTGCAAGCAGTCGCCTTTCGAGAACTTCCGGTCGATTGGCTGATGTCGCGTTTCTAGGTAATTTTAGGTATTTTTTTAATGTATTTCACATTTCACTTTGCTCATATTCCATCGAATTTCGCGATTCCGCAGTGGTTTCTCTTGATTCTCTTATCCTTGTGTACTTTGTATATATCGTTATACATACTTAATACCTTAATAAATTTTACTATAAATCTTTGTTTAAAAAATTTTACATCATTTATGTTATATATTTAAAAATTTGGTGTTTTCAATTTGCTTTCGCAACTTCCTCTTTGCTTGAGTTCTTTTGTTTGGTTTTTCTTGGTTTTCCTAGTTTAAGGTATGTTTTTCTTTTTTCTTGTATCTATTATTTTTAGTATTTTCCGCCTTATGGCCAATTGCCATGTAGATGTGGCCTGACCTTTCAGCCCTAAATACAAAAAAAAATGTTTGCTTCCTAAAAATGTCATAAGTTCTACTACAGACACACACATTGATTGTTGGTAGACTCTACTAAATGATCTCGGATTTGAAAACTAGATTATTGAAGTGGAAAATCGAATAAACAATCTTTAATTGAATTAATATTCATGCGCGTACATATAGTTCGTGTTTGATTATATATTTATTTATATAGGCGTAAAACTTAGTTAAAACTTAGTTATACGTTATAGAGCGTTGAAACTTAATCTGGATTTTAAATATATTTGTATAAATGCGAGTGCTGTTGTTGTGTATTTGTTGTGTAGAGCGATTTACACGGCTGAAGTTTCGATTTAACTGGCCATATTTCGATTTATCTTCAATCCGATCCAATTCAACTTCACTTCAACTGCGAAAGCGTTTTGCCTGCAATATTGCCAATTTTCAGGTGGGTACAGATTAGAGCTGGCAAGCCATCGCTAGTAAATTCATTGTGTCATCGAAACGATCATTCTTATTGTAAGAAGATGGTATCGAATAAAAAACGTTTGTTGTGGCCTCAAGGAACCCAGTCGATGTTATCTTAAGATCGACCAAAGTCTTGCCAGCTCTAGTTTGGGTGTGGTTGTGTGTGTGTAGATATTTGAGGAAAAAAGAAAACAAATTTTGTGTTTTAGTTTTTTGTGTTTTTTCATTTTTTTTTGCATAGTTTTTGGAATAAGTCACACATTTATTTAATAATAAATATATATTTTTAGTTGTAGTTATGTTTTTTTGTTTGCTTTTGTTTGGTTTCGCTTGGTTGCATTCAATAAGTTATAATAATTATAAAAATGGAATAATAAGTAGGCGTAATAATATATAATGTAATATAATATAATAAGTTTTCTTGGTTTCATTTACTTTGGTTTGCACTTGACGAATACGAATACGAATCTTAGACGACGAAAAAAAGATATATAAATCTGGTTACATATATATATAATAATGGTTACAAGTGAGTGTGTTTGGGTGCTGGGTCATTGTTGTTACGTTTGGAGGATATATCGCGGCTTTATCTTCGATTTCCGTTTCGTCTTCGAGTGTAAATCAAGGCGAATCGAATTAAGTATAAGAGCTGAATAGCACTAGAATTAATGTAATGTAATGTAAGTTAGGGTTGCAAAACGAACACAAAATACAATACAATACAATACAATACAATATATTTATGCATATCCATTATAATAAGTAGTTAGGTAAGCTGAGAGAGTTATGTTGGTGATTCCTAAATCAATAGACATTAAATCATTTGGTTAGCTTGTTTGAATACTTTGTTTAATTGAATATAATCGAATTGAATTACATATACATAAGTTTAAAAAAAAAATAGTTACTATATATTGCGACTTAGATCATTTTCATTCATATTTTTGCGGTTTTTTACTTTTTGTTTTTCGTTTTTCGTTTTTTGTTTTGTTTTTCCCTTGACCCTATTACCTTTTCATATTTCCCATTTGTCAATTTATAGACAGTTGTCTGGCTCACCTCTTTTTGTCTAAAGTTTTCCTTAGTTTCTGTGTTGTGTTTTTTGGATGCCTCATTCAAGCTTTGTTTGTATTTATATTTTTATTTTTATTTTTTTTGTTTGTATTTTTTTGTTTCTTGGATTAGTTAATAAAATTAAATTATAGAGTTGGAAATAAATCAATTTTCACTAAGATTTCATAAGAATTACAATCATAATAATTTCGTTTAGCGTACAAATCAAATGATAGGCATATCATAAACTCGCGCTAAATTTAGCAATTTCGACTACACTGTCTTTGTCACATCATATCATACCATATCATATCATATCATATCTTATCAGATCAGATCAGATCAATCTATAGTCTAGGTGTTGTTAAATCAAACAGATCGTGGAGTATTGGAAAGGTCTAGTCCAGATTGGCGGGTTCGCCTAAGTGGTTTTGGTCTTGTTAGTCTTAAAGCTGACCTGCAGCACCCGATTGCCCAGGGTATAACCGTTCAGTGACTGGATGGCCACCACGGCCTCATCGTAGTTGGTCATGGTCACGAATCCGAATCCCTTGCACTTGCTGGTCTGCAGATCCCGGATCACTTTCACCGACTGAACCGCTCCGAACGGACCGAATAGCTGCCACAGCACATTCTCCTCGGTCTCCGGGGCCAGGTTATAGACGAATATGCACCATCCCGATCCAGTCATGGCGTTTCCCGGCAAGATCGAGTTGGCCAGTAGATCGCCAGCCAGCGGTGAGTACCTAAAGTGCAGTTGCGATTCAAGCCGGTGGTGAGATAAGAGAAATTAAATTAGTTATGTGCCCATCGTGCGTGTTCTACATCAATGTGAGTTTAGGTACTTCCTAGGCCCTCTTTACACCTAACTAATCAATCGCTTGGTCTCAGGACTTCCAAAGTATATGCCAATTTAATATACAAAAGCTTTTTTAAATGGGTACTTCCACAGACCTCTCTTACTGCTCAAAACTCTCGTTAGTCTATCAGTTTTTAGTCTCGAAAGATATATCAATTAGGATCGTAGCTTATGGGTTTTTCTGCTGGTACTTTTCAAGACAATTTCATTTGATCTCAGAGCATGCACATAAACCTAAATTAAAGTTTTTTGCTGTATCTTTAAGCTCGACAAATTATTAAAGATTTATGATTTTACTTCGCGATTTTAAGATACATGCTAGGTACACAGAAAATGAACGAATATCTTTTTATTTCCTATTTCAAACATTTATGTATTTTGTTATTTAAAAAACTCTGCTAATTTGTTGAGGTATTGCTATTGATTTCCGAATATTAAAAAAGGGTTTAAATCATAACAACAAACATCTTACTGGAATCAAGGGTAACGCTCACATGCAAACGAAAAAATGAAATAGGTGTAAGCAAATGAAAATAACATATGAGTGGGTAATACAGAACTTAAATGTATATACAACCACCGTATAAAGGTACCAAAATTATTGCTAGACATTTATATATATCTTGTAAATATATTTCTATATTTTCAGCAAATGAAATAAGGAAACAAAGTAACAGCTCGCACAGATAAAATGAACAAGATCAATAAATTCACCTTTGTAGGCCCTTGTTAATCGCTAACATGGGACTCTTTCCAATGCTAAAAATGATGATAAAATGTATTTTGAAAAGACAAAGAAAGAAAAAGAAGTAACAAAATGGTTTGGATAATAAATACAAATTAGTTAGTCAACGAAATGCTAAAAGATATGTATGTACCAACAGAAATAACTTAGGAGTTTATACTTAAAAACATATACTTTAAGTTCCAATCTTTGCTGCTAAAAAAAATGCTCGTTGGTATGCGCTGATTGAAATTGGTATTACCAAGATCTTCATTTTAACCCTAGTATTCAGTATTCATGCTTACAAACAAAGGTTTCATTTTAAAACATTTAAATTGAACTGCAAAGATTTTTAATATTTCAGGTAAAGAAAATCTCCAATTCTTTAGAAGCTTGTTTTCCAATCTTAATTAAGTAATCTTATATGTAAAGAAGTAACATTCTTCAAAATTGGTTTGAATTTGGTATTACTTTCATTTGCAGCTGTATGAATACTGATTCGCTTTTCCCCTACAAAGCCTAGATAGTTTTTCCTTTCTGGGTTCTTAATACGAACCTTATGCGACCGGCGGAGGGCAGAGCTCCAGCCAAACGACGGGTGGCCGCTGCCGCCTGGGGAGTCAAGTAGGCGGTAAGGGGCGGGGCAATCTGGGCCTTGGCGCTATTGCTTGGATTATTGGCGAACTTGACGGTGATCGGTTCGGCGTATCCTTTTGGGGTCTTCCCATTCAGCTCCTGGATGGCCCGCTCGGCTTCGTTGCGCTGATCGAAGCGGATAAAGCCGACGCCCTTCGATAGACCTGCCAAGTGATATGTGATTATTGGTGATGAATGGTGATGAAAATGGCTGGGGCTGAGCACTGTGAACTCACCAGAAATATTATCACAGAGTATACGAGATGTAATTATTTTGCCGAACGATGCAAACATCCCCTCCAAGTCTGGTTGTGATAGATTTTTCGGAAGACCCGATACATATAAATTAGCACCCTTAATAGATTCTGAGCTTGGACGGGCGTATGATACTTTAATAACCTTATTCTGCAAACGCAGACCGTTCAGGGTGTTCACAGCCTTCTCAGCATCCTCGGCCCTGACGTAATTAACAAAGCCATAGCCCAGACTCTGACCTAATAATAATACATATTCGTAATGACAATGATTAGGCTGATAATGGTATTCACAAGCTATTTTGTGCTACTTACCTTGCTGCAGTGCCGGGTTGAGAGCGGTCAGCGATGCTGGCAAGACTGAAATAAATGTACAAATAAATTAAAACTGATAACTATGGTCAAAAGATCAGTGGGCAAAGGGATAGCTAACGATTTAAACATGAATTAGAACGATTTGTGCTGTATTCAATTACTTTTCAAGAGATTTACTCTTCAGATTTACTTTTCAAGAGCTGGCTGTAAACGATGCATCAGCGCACTTACGAATGCACAATGTTGAAAACAAACAACGCTTTCTTAACCAGAAATTAAGCAAATATTTTACTTAAGATATCTCACAGATTACTTAATCTTAATCTTTTACGAAAAACTACAATTCGAAGACCATCATAGTTGCAGTTTCAGCCGATTCATCGTTTACAGCTAAGAAAACATATGTGGATTGGGGAAATGGAAGTATAGTCGTAGAAGCATTGGTTAATATTTACCCAAATTACCTGAGACTTTATCACGCACCAGTTTGCAACTCTCGAGCTCACCGATGCTGGAGAAGAGCGATCGCATCTCCTCCTGCGTCATGGTTTGCGGCAGATAGTTGACAATCAAATTGGTGCGCGACTCATCATTGCTGCCATCCACGGATCCGTTGGCACTGCCGTTCTTCACAATGTCCATGGCGTTGGTCATTGTGATTGTGGTTCTGATCCTGCTGATTTAGTCCTTTTGGTTAGTAGTTAATCTCACTGCTTGGTTGGTTTTCGCTTACAAGTAACAGCTGCTCCTTTGGGGGATTTTTAGCGCTTTGCACAAGTCCCGCCCGCAGTTTTTATTTCGGCTTTTTTTGGGGGGTTTTAGATCAACTACGATCGCGAAAAAAATGTATTTGCTTTTTAAGTTAAGTTTAGAGCGTTCTCTGTCTAAAACGTTTAAAATTTAATTTATGCTTGAATTAGGTCTTAGTTTTTGTTTTTCTGGTTTTCTTTTGGTTTTCGTTTAGATAAAAGAGTAAATTTTGCTAAATGTGTTTACTTCTTAATTTTGCTTCTCCGAATGTTAAAGATTATTATGATCTTTAGTTGTTGGTTTTCCTTTTTGTTTTTGTTTTTGTTTTTGTTCTTGTTTTTCGTTTTCTTTGTTATTTTTTATAAAATTGCAAAAATGCAAAAAGATAGCAATAATTTGGTTTTTCCTTCTTTTATTATACTTTTACTAAATTTGCGCTGGTTTTTGGTTTTTTCTTTGACTGGAACTTAGCTTTGGTTTTCAAATATACATTCATATACCGTATATATATTTAGTTAGTTGTGTATCCGTTATCCTCTTGTATATATATACCGCTTGAATATGATTATTCGTTAATGTTTGCTTTAAATTAATAGTAGTTGGTTTTATTTGGTGGTGTTTGGTTTTTGTTGACTTTCCTTCTTATTTCTTTTTGCCTCGTCTGTTTGCTTTTCCCTCTGCGGTTAAAAAATCTCCCTCTTCTTCGGTGATCCGTTTCTTTTCTCTGATAAATGATGGCTGTTCGATTGCTCGCTCGTTTTCACTCAATCTGCAAGTAGATGCAAAAATGTATAGTTAAAGTTTTTTTTTAATTTACAAAATTAAAAGCATGAACTAGCCATTACAATTACAAGATGGGAACAGCCCATCTGCACCCTGAATTAATTTCACACAATGCTCCAATTTAGCAGCTCACTTTGATAACATCGTTCAGGGGTAATAACACTAGTGCTTCAGCACTTCTAAGTTTACAAAATTCTCTTCAAATGCTGCTTCATTTCACGGACCATGCAATTTGACAATATGGTTGCTATCCCGATGAAAAGTGCCCGATAAGCGCGTTTCACACACGGCTTGCCAAGGACATCCAGCGACTACTGTCACCGACACCACCACCATCATCGCCGTCACCGTCACCATCACCACCGCCACCACCTTTCCCACTACAGTGAACACCATCCACTCCCAAGCCGAATTTCCACAGACACGAGGGTAAGTCAAAGCCGAAATCTGTTTATCAAACAACAATGCGACTCCAAGGATTTTTCTCCCCCACTTTTTTGTCAGCACAAAATGCTCGCCTAATGGCTTGGAATTTAATTAAATCGCTGTAGGTTGGATGTGATATGGAATCCCATGTGCAATGTCCTGATATATGATACGAATCGAACGACGCTTACCCTGCATAATGAACATTTAGTGCTCCCACCATTGCACATTCGCCACATTCGGCTGGGAACAATGGCAAATGATTGCCAAGTAGCATTTAAAAAATACGTGTCAAGTGGTAACTTTAGTTTATTAGAAAAAACGCGGAAGTGCCTTGAACTTTGCGGAAATTACATTGGTAATGGAGAAGTGGGTAAAGTTTTGTAATAAAAAATGTGACACAGACTGAGGAGCTATATTTATATTTTAGGAAATATGCTGAAGTAAGTCAATGCTGAACAACCAAACTCAATGGCATTAAAACATATGGCGATCTTACAAAATGAAGTATTTGCTTGAAGAAAAGCTTATTTTGTTTTATTATAGTAAAAAAAAGAAACACAAGGTGCAGTTCCTAGTTCGTATTAGAATAGGCAAATATCCTTCTGATTTGTATACTTTTGTTTCCAATTGGAACTTCGTTAGGGGTTGAAAGAGCGCAAAGGAGCACTTCCTAGATCCTGGCCGCCGGCATTGGTGTGAGTGAGTTAGTGTGTGTGTGTGTGTGTTCGGAAAGGACTGCATTGAAAATAGGGTAAAAACCTGACGCGAAAAACAAACAAACGGGCCGCATGTCCTGCCATAATGTCCTGTTTGGGCCGGGGTCATTGAACCGCCGGTTTCGGTTTTTCACTTTTCCGCCTGTGTCTTTGCCACATTGCCCACTCCCGTTTGCGTGCCTTTTTTCGCTCTGTGCAGGGATCGTGGCGTGTCACATGGGGTTTGGCTCCCAACAGCTGTTACTGCGTGCGTTGAACCCGGTAAAAGGTGCAATACTGGGTTAAAATGCGAGCACACTGAGCGAAAAGCTTCTAAGCACCCTAAGACGAAAGAATCGGAATTTCAATTTATGCACAAAAGCTTCATTTGCAGCTCACATTAAAGTGCTAAAAACGGAGCATATTTCAAGACTCTCAGCTTACTTTTCGCGCAGTGTACTGGAGGTGAGGAGCGAGATAAAAAGAAAATTGCACAAAGGCTTGGCGAACAAAAGGAAGTGCAGTGGAAATGACTCGTCCACAAGGATGCAGGATTCAAGCCGGGGACATCCTTTAATTGCGCAGCATGGCGTGACGCAGGATAATGCACACGACCCCCAACACCACCACCACCCCCCCGCACCTGCCTACTGAAAAGAAGCCGGCGAAAGAGAAGCGAAAAATGTGTAATTGACACTTTTGCGCCGATATCTGTGACCTCATTTGCGAATGTGTGTCGCCTGGCATTCGTCGAGGGCCTTGAGGAGGGTCAGGATACGCATACGACTCCTCAAGTCCCTGAGAAGAATGGGAGAGTCCTTAAAGGGGCTACTCACAGGACTTGGGATGCGGCAGGCAGGATTGCTTGGAGACTCAAAGAACCGCTGAGCGCTGTTCCCATTACTTAAAACCCAGTTTTGCTTTTCAGGATGGGAATTTAAAATATATTTAAACCATATACCACTTCAGAAATGGTATCATACAAACTCAAAGCTGCAAAAGGCATCTTATACAAGTAAAGTTATAGCCATTTTATTGGACAATGTTCAAAGAAAATATAAAATGCAATTAGAAAATGCAACTGACAGCTATTATAGGTAATTTAAGTGCCATTTTCATTCTGATTGCATATTTTCGAGTGTATTCGAGGTCTTGGGCGCACAAGTTTGCGCCGCAACGCTGCCAAAAGAAAAACAAATAAGAGATGTCATGGAAATTTTCAATGGCGCCCCCACATATCGATTTATTTTGGTAGGCTCCTTTGGCTAAGAATAAATACATTGATGGCTGGATAAAGTGATTAGATCATGGCATTACCACTTACGTGCTTCGCTGGCGAGACGAAATCGAAAAAGTTGTGGGAGCGAGGTGCGTTTGAGAAGTTACACTGTCATACAGTGTGTTCTAGTGGGGAGCGGGGAATGGAGACCGACTGACTATATAATAGATGTATATTGATTGCACAAAAAAACTTTCGTTCGCGTCGACTCGCTCTCTCACTCGCTCGCTCTCTTTTTGGTCTGAACACTCCTTTGTCCAACGATTTCCTGGCTATATAGTATATATATCATATATATAGCGGATTGGGCATCCGGCGTAATAGTTTATAGATAGACACTTGCAGCACTCACTCGAAAAAAATGCGAAAGAAATTGGAATCGGAATCGGAATTTGACTAGGGTCTGTGAGATAACAATTGCAACTCTTCTTGTGCCCAGCGACTTTCGCCAAGTGTTCTATAATATAGAATTATATATTGCACGATGATCGATGATGTCGAGTCCCGGGAATTGCACGGTTGTATTGCTTGGTTTGGTTTCTAGTTTTCTAGTTTTCTAGTTTGTGTTTTGTTTTTTTTTGTTTTAGGTAAAAAACCGAGAACACAACAAATTCGTAACTGAATATACATATATAGAAGTATATATACAACACAAAAACCGGTGCAGAGGAGTAAAAAATTATAAATGAATGTTCTCGAACGAGAAACACAACCGAATGGAATCAAACCGAACGAAAGCAACGAACGAACACGTACGACTGAATCGCATAGAGGAATACGGCGTCAGGACTTGCCTTTCAGACCGAAACATCTATATCCCTACACACACACATAGAATTATATTTGTATACATATCCTAGCTAACCGTATCCTTGCATCCTTGTCGCCGGCCCCCAAGGCAGCGATGGGTGCAACAGAGACGCAGCGATCCGGCGGAATGAAAGAGAGCGCAAGCCACTACCACCACCAACGAATATCCTTGCACAAATCCCTCTCTCTCACTCTCGCTCTCTCTGGCTGTCGCTGTCTCCCTCTAAGGTCCTGCCGGTACACACCCTTTTTGGGAGAGCGGCAAGAGAGCACAGGACACGCACACCGGCCAGAAATGGGGGAATGGCAAGCAAGTGAGGTGGGGAAGCGGTGTCCTTGCACAAAAAAAAATTATGCGATTTTGGGGCATACACAACTTTTTAAAAATTGTAATGGGTTTTTTAAATTATTTTTAGGTACGAAATTTTGGGAAATATATTACATAAAATGGATAACTTTTATACAATTATGTGTGGTATATTTCAGAATGGCTCTATTTGCCCTTTTTAAAAAGTGGGCTGCAATGACTTGTGCAATAATATTATTCCTTTGCTTAAAAAATAAAGATCCTAAGTTGCATTGTATTATGTACCTAGAAAAAGGTTTAAGTGTACTTTCAGCTGGTGGTGTGAGCAGGCGTACGAAAACTTGACTCAATGTGAATGATGCAAATTATATCAGGCTGAGATAATGGGACAGGACTCTCCCCCTACAAAACAAAAACTCGAGCAATGTTTTTGTCTGAGCATCGGGAAAACATGAAAAAATCAAGGGATTTAATGGTCACATACGTATATGTACATTTGAAGGGCTTGTTATATTTCACAGATTAGCTATAGATAAGCGATGCATCGAATGCGAGTTAGCTTTATTGTATGCAGCCTGATTATAAAATTCCTTAAAACAATACATATTTTCGCTTTATTTCTTAAAGCCATAATATATATTTTGTAATAATTTGAAAAGAATTTTTGAACACGTTAAAAAATGTTTTTTATTTGGTAAAAAGCTCTTTCAAGCACAATAACTCGTTTTAAAATGACGTGGAATACATTTTTCAAATAGTTTGATAGATAAATTCTGGAAAATCCGACTCAGACAGGCGAAAAAGTTTTTCTCCCCCTGCTGTGCTTTTCTATTTTTTTCGTTTAATTCAGAGAGATGCAGCGGCAGGAGGAGAGTCAAAGGACGAGTGATGAAGGCGAAGAGGAAGGTGAGGGAAAACTTTTTTGGGGGTTGCGGAGTGGAGTGGAGTGGAAAAAAGTTGAGGGAGCACCTTGCAGGCGAGGAATATTAATCAGACATACACTTGCTTCTCACACACACAACGGCAGAGAGTCCTTTGCACTAACACATACAGATACACACAGCATCGCTCTCTCGCACCAGCACACATGAAAATTCCTCTCACACAGACAGTTTCCGTGTTATAAATAATGAAATTTCAACATTTCGCTTGACAACAGTAAGGGGAATGTTCGGGGGGTGGGGTTCTCGCAGAGGGTGGGTGTGTTTTGGGTGGTGAGTGGGTGGCCAGTGGGTGGTTGGGTGGTTGGGTGCTTGGGCTGCTGTGGGGTTGTCCTTTCGCTCGAGTGGCAACCGCTTGCTTCGCTCTTTTTTGAGGACACTGTGTGCTTTTTCGCCTGATTCCTTATTTTCTTTGAAATTCCTTGCATGGGGCTTCTTTTCATTCCTTCTTTTTTTTTGCATAGGCTCTTGAAGATAATGCTGTTTATCCTTTGACCCAATTCGTTTAATTTGATGGGAGTTGATGATGATGTTGCTTTACTTTTTCGTTCGTTATTTTGTATTTTTTTCGAAAGCCAGATAAATGGTTACCGCGTTGAGTTGGGAAAATTATGGCTTTCCCGTTCTAAAATTGAGTTTTTGCAAAAGCCTTTTCCCCATTTTCAGTCTTAAATATGATTACGTTGTGGGCCGCACAAGTGGGGAAAGCAGTACAAACACAGAATTTCAACCCACATTTTATTTTTTTGCCATTTTCAGCAAATTTTATTTTTACAGAAAACGCGAAAATGTACCCAAAAATGAATTTGCACAAATCCTTCAAAATTTGTCAGGGATCAAAGGCATCGGTAATTAGCTGCTTAAAGCTATTATTTACTCATCTATATGATTTTTTAGCCAACTGATGACAAAAATCAATCAGGTAAATATAGAATTTTTGGCAGAATTCGTTTTTTGGACACAGCTTTTAAAATAAGTGTCTGAATATGAAATGCCACATCTTGTTGAGTTCGTAATCTGTAATTTCAGTGCTTTTCCCAGCCCGTAAGTAAAGATGAACCGAAACGCAGGTCAACCCTTTGTTATGAAAATGTGGGCATATGTCTTCATTTTCGTAAAGCATTTTCCAAACCGAAAATGGACAAAGACGTGTCAAAATGTTGGAAAACTTTTGGACAGCTAGCCAAACCGGAAGAACCCGTTTGGAAAGTAAAGCTAACCCGTTCATTGGAACAATAGGAAAGTAACAAAAACCGAAACAGGACCAGAACCAATCGATTTGCATTTCCCCGTTTCCCAAGTTATGCAACACTTTCGTTAGGGAAAACGGGAAAAGGGGGAGGTCCAGTGCAACCACCACAGCTTTGCACCACCACCAATGCGATCGAGCACCATTATCCTTGCAGCTGCTGCTCGCGACGATCTTGAACTTTACATCGGTTCGCTGCAATTTATGACGCTTGCGACTTATTGACATCAATGTGATTTTGCAGGCATGTTCCCTTGCAGAAATTCGCACATTCGAGCATTTGGAAAATCAGTTTTGTTGCGGCACACACACGCAGCGAAATATTGGGAAAATCGTTGTGTAATCCTGGTGTGCCCAGAATCAAAGGGTGGGTTTGATTCCCCAGGCCGGGAAAAACGTTTTCCGCGCCCCGGGGGACATGGATATTCAAGAATATGGGCTTAAGGGAAGATGTAGAATTTTATAATTAGCAAGGAAGGCGAATTAAAAATAAACTGCATACAGCAAACACTTTCGAGGTATTTAATATGCATATACAAATTAATTAAATGGTAATGTGTGCACAGCTTTGTTCAAGTTATTAATTCAAATAGCATTTTAAAATGATTGGATAGGTGCATTGTAAATCACTGAAGATTTTCAAATATTTAACACATTAATTAAAGAAAGTAGGATATCCCCGGGACGAGCACCATTACCATTTCTGTGTTTTGATTCTTTGAGTTGCTACACTCGTTAGCCGCTTTTGTGTGGGTTTTCCCGTTTGTGTGGAAAATGGGAAATGGGCGTAAGGGTTGCCGGTGGGCGTTGAATTTTCGAATGCCATCAAATTAATTTGCACCCCGAATTCGCAACAAATGAACGGCATTGTATGTCGGGTTCATTGCACCCGGCATTCAATCGGAACTGAGATTTTAATTGGCTTGCAATTTCGATTTTGATTGCAGCCAGGTAAAGTAGTTTCAGATTCCTAAATGTGATATACTCGTATCCACAGTTTGGTTAAATTGTATCCGCTTACTATGATTTGCTATAAGTTGTCGATTAAACGTAAGCTACTTGTAAGGATTATAAGCTGCGTTGATGAATTTGATATTATTACAATTTCTCACTTGGCCGGGCCTTGTAATTAGTTGGCAGCCTATTTACCATACCCCATATCCTATATTCATATCCACATCCATATCCATATCCCGACCATAAGGGTGGCCGGCAAATGAGACGTTACGAACGCCGCCTGTTCCATAATTGGACAAACGGGCAGTCTGGGGTTAATTAATGCAGCTAACGAATTTAAATGAGGAAAATTCTCCAACCAGACACTGAGTGCAGTCGATGGAAACTGGAAATTGGATATGTGAATGCGGAAATAATAATTGCATATTTTAATAATTATCTTGGTAGTGTTGTGTTGGCTTCTGTTTTTTATTTTTTTAAATACATTTTTGCATGCAATAAATGCAGTTTGCTGCTCTAAGCCCGATATTTAGGAATTATTCTAGTACTGAGGACGTTTTTCAATTGATTGGTTTATTATTAATTGTTCATTCATATTGGGCATATATGTGTATGATGCCTAGCCGATCTGAACGCATATATGCAGCCACATTTATTGCCATGTATGTGGTCCGTTTCGTCACCTGACCATAAAGCGATAGAAGGAGCAGGAAAAGCGCAGCAGCCCACCACCAACACAATAGCACCACCTGCATGCTGGCTCTCTCTCTCTCTCTCTCTCGCTCCCTCTCCCTCTCTCTCTCTCTCTCTTCCTCTCTCTCGCTTACACACACACTCGCCCGTCTCTTTCGCACTGCAGCACGGCTCCTGCCTCCTCCATCTCACGTCCTCTCAGCCTGTCCCTCTCTATCCCGCGAGTGTCTGCGAAGGATATTGAACTCTGACACAATGCTATATATACACAAAGAACAATTGCCGGCCGGTGGCCAAGTGGTCCTGCATCCTGCACCACCCAATCGCACACTTAGCGAAAAAGTGGAAAGTGGAGGTGTGTTTATATTTTTAAATAGAAAGAGACAGTAGCCTAATTCCAAAAAACATCTTTAAAATGTGGCATACCTTTGAACATTTTTCTTATTTATGAAATATAACATTTTGAAATCCATATCGGATACACTCTACGTATCAATTAAATGGTTTAATGCAAGCTTTGTGTTTTTATTCACCTATTAAATATAATTGATTTTAAGAGAGTCCAATATTTTTCACTGCATCTAGCGCCGTGTGCTTTTCTCTCTCACATACTCCCCATATTCGCTGGCTTTTTGCAACCGTTATTTTCTCTCTCTTCGACTGTATGTGTGACTGGCCGTTTGTGTGTATTTGTGGGGCGTTGTTTTGATTTTCCTAGATTGCGCAATCTATGAACTCAGCATTTCACCCAACACCAGGAAATGCGACTCTCTCAAGAGAGAGAGAGCGCGCTCTTTACTGCGCATGTATGTGTGACCGCGAGTGTGTTTGTGTGTGTGTGTGTATAGCGGCAAAGTGG